CCCCCCCCAGTCCTCCACCCTGCCAAGGGGGGGCAGAGCAAGGCTGACTGCTCCTGCCGGACACAGCCTAGTGCAGCAGCTCCCCGCAGCCTGCGTCCCGCACCTACCCGCTGCTGGGTCCTGGCCCTGGGGGAAGGGGGCTCCTCATGTTTGCGCAGAGCCCTGCTGGGTCCTGTCCCTGGGAGAAGGGGGCTCCTCATGTTTGCGCAGAGCCAACAGAGCCGGGTACCTTTTTCTCCTCCCACCCCATCTCCCAGGAGCACCCCGTCCAGCCCTCAGAGCAGGGGAGACTCAAGACTTCGCGGATGTGCCACTGAGCCACTGTGTGGCCTTGGGCACATCCCTGTGCTGCTCTCTGCCCCCCCCCCTTCTCCCATCTGTAAAAGTGAAGGGGGTTTCTTGAGGCAGAGCCAGCTCCTAATGAACCCGAGGGGAAGGACACTTGGAGCTAGGGGTGTGAGATGCCCAACTGGAGGAGACCTACTTGATCTTAATCTCATAGAGTAAGAGAGCTAAACATGGTAGCTGGGACAACAGTGCAAGATGAGAGACTTGCTATTCTGAGTATGAGCTTAGGAGTGCAGCTACTAGCCTGTCTCTAGGGCTGTGTCCAGACTCAGGGGTTTTTTCGGGAAAAGTAGCCTTTTCCCGAAAAAACTTCCCCTGCATCCAGACTCAGAAAGAACGCAGCTTTTCTTTCGATGGCGGTAAACCTCGTTTCACGAGGAAGAACGCCTTCTTTCGAAAGTTCCTCTTTCGAAAGAAGGCGTTCTTCAATGTAAATAGGGCTTCCTCGAAAGAGAGCATCCAGACTCGCTGGGTGCTCTCTTTCGAAAAAGCGGATTGCTCTTTCGAAAGATCCGCCTGCAGTCTAGACGCGATCTTTCGAAAGAGGCTCTTTCGAAAGAAGCCTGCAGTCTAGACATAGCCTAGGTGGTTAGCCTGGATCCCATGCTATTTTCTGTTTTTAGCATGCTAGCTCTATGAAAAGTAACTACAGCTGGGAGTTGCACTCCTTACCCCTCACTTATTTAGCAAATAATTGAAGTTGAGCACAATTTTTAGTTTTGGGCTGTGCACAGGGAAATTGTGATGGGATCAGTAGAATGAAAAGGTATCTTTTCCTACACATTTCAGTCCCAGAGCACACCATGGGACACACTCCCAAACCCTTCTGCAAAGGGTATGAACATAAGTGTTTGCTTAGTTACACACCACTGTCAGAGATCCACTTCTGTAGCCTCTGCTGAAACATCGGATTTGTGCAGCATGTTTATTAATGACCTGGATGAAGAGATGGATTGCACCCTCAGTTCGTAGAGGACACTAAGCTAGGGGGAGAGGTAGATACATTGGAGGGTAGGGATAGGGTACAGCATGGTCTGACAAATTGGAGGATTGGGCCAAAAGAAATCTGAGCTTTAACAAGAACGAGTGCAGAGTCCTGCACTTGGGATGGAAGAATCCCAAGCACTGCTACAGGCTGGAGACCTATTAGCTAAGCAGTAGTTCTGCAGAAAAGGACCTGGGAATTACAGTGGATGAGAAGCTGGATATGAGTCAACAGTGTGCCTTTGTAGCCAAAAGGGCATAATGAGGTGCATTAGTAGGAGCATTGCCTGCAGATCTAGGGAATTGATTATTCCTCTTTATTCAGCACTGGTGAGGCCACATCTGGAGTATTGCATCCAGTTCTGGACCCCCCCCCCCCCCCCCCCTACAAGGGGGGGGG